AGCTCCTGCTTACTGAAGCCCAGGCCCCCCGCACCCCTGTGCTTACTTGCACGGAGCACCTAGATTGAACTATGCTGGGTCTTCAAAGGGAAGCTCAGGGCAGGTTTCATCTGTTCAGAAAGAAGAGATGCCCACCCTTCTTGGGACAAAGCCAGGCCTGGACTAACCGCAAGGGCTGCCGCCTGGAGGCCTTTCGTTCTCCTGGAGCTTCTGGGGGGTGTGACAGAAGCTCTTGGGGGTCAGAATGTGAGCCCCAGGCCCGTTAGCCACTGAGCACCTGCCACAGACCCGTGTCCACGCCAGGACCTCGGGTGGATCCTGAGTTCAGAAGCCGAGCCCCCAGTGGATGCCGGACACACTCCCAGCCCGTGTCCAGGGCTGCCCAGCTGGCTCTGCTTGGAGGCATGATCACACGCCATGCAGCCAGAGGAAAGGGGGGGCCAGCCCGTGGGGTTTTCACAGGGGTGTCCCCTCCCTGGGGCCTCATGTTTCCAACAGACCATAAGGTTGGGCCAGGGCACTCAGAGGTTTTTAACCAGACTGTAGCAGGCAGACGATGGAGCGGGTCTTCTCACGGCACTCGCCTGGCCCAGGTCTCCATGGGGGCAGCAGTAACTCCGGCCGCCCCGGTTTCCTGGAGGACTTCCCGGGAGCCAGGAGATGGGAAACGGAGAGCTTTTGCTCTGTCAAGAGTGTGGGGTTTCCAAGGTCAGCAGGCGGCCCTGAAGACCCAGGAAGGTGATCACAGATGCACCAAAGTCTGAAGGAATATGTGAACGTTGACAGTGGAAAAGCAGATGCATTCAGGAGGTGGTTATTTGTGTCGTCGAAGGTTTCCCCTCCGATCACCGGGACATCCCCACGCCCATGTGGCCTGAAACAGGAGTCCATCTCCTGCGCCTCGACCAGGGTGTGTGTGGCCCCCCCAGACCTGGCACCACAGGGTGGACAGCCCAGCGCCGATGCAGGGTGGGGACCCCTGGACCTCCTGGGAGGCCGGGAGCTGAGATCTCGGGGGAAATCTCCGACGTCTCCGTGCCCATGGGCAGCAGTGGGAAACGTCTGGTGGGCCTGACCTGGACAGATGGGCTGTACTGGGCCTCAGAGCAGGACCTATCCAGGTCAGGGGCCACCTCCCGGGAGGACAGAGAACTCAGTTCTGTGCTGTGGCTCGTGAAGCAGATGGCCTCGGGAGTCTGAGTTTAGGACAGAGTCATGGCAGGCTGTGTGGGTGGCGGCCTCTGGGGGCAGTGACCCACGAGCCTGGGGTCTCCCCGAGAGCCCCTGCAGGGTGAGAGGGGCAGGGATGGGACCGTGGGGGCCCTGATCCCATCCCCGGGGCCAGCAGGGCGCCCGGCAGGCGCTGGAGAGTGAACGCACGATGCTGCAGGGCTGCAGGAGGTGGGAGCCAGGAGGCGAGGGGACAGCAGCCCAGGCCGGGCCCAGGGGTCAGCAGAGCCGACATCACATACGGTGCCAAGGACCCTCTCCAGGCAGGAGGGAGGGGCGAGGGTGGGGGCCAGAACGGAGTGACAGGCGGGGTTGGAGGGTTTTATATGCAGGAGACTGGGGCTCCTTTCTCGGGGGGCAAAGGGCATGAGGAGGGAGGTTGGCGCTGGGGGGGTTCTGCAGCAGGAGGGGCTCAGAGCAGGGCCGGGTGCACGGTTAGCACGGCTGGGGCATCCCAAGAGGGGTGGGGTGGTGCTGCGGGAGGGGGCCTTGCCTGGGGACGTTAGAGATGGGCGTCCGTGTGCACCCCAGTCTGGCTTGAGGGCCCTGGCTATCTGGACGCTTGGGAGGTCACCGGCGGGGAGCGGCCGCACTCCTGGCTAGCAGCCCTGCAGTGGGTCTCCGACGTTGCAATTAAAGCTCTCGGCCCTTCTGTGTCTCCAAAGCAGAACGGATTAACGGGCATTTCTGTGTGACCAGGACGGATTCGACTGAAGTCACCAGTCACAGGGACGAGCAGGGTTGCTTCTCCCACAGACGCCCTCTTTTCCCGCACGGGCCCCGCCCTGCGCCTCAGAGGTTGCTGCTGACTGGGGTCCACGCTGCGCCGTCTGACGTCGGGCTGAGTGTGGGTGAACGTTTCCTCAGATGCCCCACGCTTCCGCCGCCTCAGGGACCGTCACGGCTGGCCGTCGTGATCGCTGCGACCCCGGGGTCATCCCGGGCCGTCGGCATTGTGTCGCTGTGTCATTATTGTGTAATTGTAGCATTACTGTGCTTTTTGTTACTGTGGTGTTGGGAGCGTCTCAGGGTCCCACCAAGGGTCTGTGCAGACTTTCTGTCTTGAGCCTTCCGCCGGCCCAAAGCGTTTATACCCTTGTCTGTAACTAACACAATCGCCAAAAGCAAGTGCTCACATTATTTTAAAAACAAGATTGGAACGTATTTTTGAACTTTCAGCTAATTCAGCCTTGCGTGTTAGGGTGCCTGGCTGTGCCTGTCTCCCTTTGGCATCTCGGCTGCATCATGGGAGCGACTGAGACTCCCAGGCTGCAGCCCGCCGCTCGGGCTGCCTGCTGCCGAGCCCTGCGGGAGCTGGTCTCCGGGCTCCGGCCGTTTCACCCGTGACGTTGGCTCTTTCCGCAAGAAATGCTGTGCTCCGCCCGGCCTCAGATCCTTCCATCCAGAGTGGGCGGCTGCCGCCGATATGTTTACTTCTGTGATTGTAACCAGATGGGCGTGGGAGGCTCGGGCTGGGCTGGGATCCTCTGGAACTGTGCAGGGTCTGGGCGTCTGACCCCCGGAGCCCGGCTGGACGCCTGGAGAGGGCACGCGGTGGAGGTCTCTTAGTGATCAGGAGTTTTATTTCTTATTAAAACAAACTCCAGCCCATTTCCCACCTGGCACCCTAAGAAACCACAGAGGCAGCCTTGTTCTGAGGGGGTGACGCGCGTGGCGGTTCAGGGCAGCGATTAGGAGGGAGGAGGATGCGGGGGGGGGGCTGTGGGAGCTCCGGAGACAGACAGCAGGGGTCCCCCTCCTTCCTGGGCCCGGCGATGCCAGCTCCACCCACTCATCCCCTCGAAGCTCCGTCGGCACGGCAATGCTTCCTGAACGATCCAGGTCCTCCCGCAGTGGCCCTCGACTGGCCGGCTTCCTTCCCGCGACGTGCACGGGGTCCCCTGGCCCAGGGGGCATCTCGTGCAGACAAGCCTGTCTCTGCCCCCGGCTCCGCCCTTGCTGCAGCCCCAGCGAGCCTGTCGGGGTTCCCTTCCCGACACAGAGGGCCGCTGGGCTGGTCCTCAGCACACTGGGCAGCGTGCGCCCACAGTCACAGGCGTGTGTTCGTCTCCTCGTTCCCACATTCAGGTACTTCAGGGTGTTTTGTGTTTGTTGTCAAGGAACCTCGTCCTTCAAAAGGACTGGTCTGTACATCTGGGCCAAAACGTTACGGGGTTTCCATGGTTGGGCTTCACCTCATTTGTGCTCAAGCCTCAGACAGAATGAGCTGGAGGCGCAGTGCTGCATTTGAGGGCGGCCTGTGTCCCTTCTCTCCTGCCAATGGACATGGCCCCCTCGAGGGGGCTGGCGGGCCTGGTGCGAGGGTGCTGGGTCCGGCTGGTGCCACCGGCCCCGGTGAGAACCTGGGAGTGGTGACAGCGTCACGGCCACATGGAGCCTCCTGTTTCCTGCAGTGAGTGGGGCACCGCAGGCCAGAGTGAGGGTGCCGCCAGGCCACACATGGGGTCACATGCGCCCGATGAGCCGTGAAGGCGGAGGCCCCTCCACGTGTGGTCTCCCTGACGCCAGCTAGTCCCTGGACGTGGTCCCTTCTGGGTGGGCCTGAACACCTGGGCACGCCCTCCAAGGTCTGGGCCAGCCGGTCCTGGACTCAACCTCTTGGTGAGAATGCTCCCAGTTTGTCCAGATGACAAGGAATGCCAGCAGGATGATCTGAGACAGTACCAAACCGTGGAGGTGGCGTCAGGCCCTTCTGTGGACAGGGTGGGAGCCAGTCCCCTCCCCACTGCCTGTAACCAGGGTGGCAGCTGATCAGAGCCGTCCAGCAGGCACTGCAGGGACTCTGACCAAGGTCCCAGAGCACCTGGGATGTCAGGTGACCTTGTGGGGTGACCCCACTGGGCCTCCTGCCGTGCTGGGCCCGGGCCAGGGCCTGAGCCCGCGGGAGAGAGGAGAGACCCTGTGACCCGGCTGCGATAGTGCCCCGGGGCCTGGAGGGCCGGCGGGCGGGCAGCTGTGGGGGCCCACGTCCACATGCACACAGCCTCCCCTGTGCACCCCTGGCCGTGCTCTCAGCAGCTCCACACCCTCGGCAGCAGAAACGGAAACGCTGGGAACCAAGGCCTGCCCGGTTCCCGGGGCGCTGCCCTGCGACCGCCTACCAGGGACCGGGAAGCGGCCTGGCCACGCTGCACCCGCCTTCTGTGTCCGTGCTCTTACTTTTGTGGCCTGTCCCCGAGGACCACGTGAACGTCTGTCCTGTAGTTTCCCGGCGGAATTGTCCTTTGGATTTGTTGGAAGTCTGGTCCCATTTTTCCATAACTGCTCTTGGGGCGGCTGTGGAAGCGGGGGCCTTCCATCTGGGCCCTCGGCCGCCCGGGGGGGGGTGCCGGCCCCCGGGTTCACGAGTACATGGGGCAGCTCAGCCCAGTTCTTGTCGGGCTCCGGCAGGGGGTGCCACGGGCGGGCTGGGGAGCAGAGGGCGGGTGGGTCTGCTCGCAGCCTGCTGTCTTGTTCGGCACCGCCTCTCCTGGCAAAGACTGGCAGTGAGCCTTGTTCTCAGGGTGGCCGCGCAGTTGTGGGCACTGTTGCAGGCGCCCTATCTAGTCCTGGAGACAGTTCTGATAGAACCGGACAACACCATGGGACGTGCGTTTGTTTTACTTTAAAAAACCCAAGGCTTAGTGAGGTGTGGGGAGGTTGGCGTTTCTGGATCGTGATTGCCTGACACCCCAGGGCGTGGGGTTCGGTTCGGTTCCCAGATCTCGTACTGGAACGTCCACAGTCTGCCCTGTTCTTTCTCCCTGCAGGAGCTGCCCAGCGGGGACCCCAAGGAAGGACATTTCCGGGAGGACCAGGGCCCACTAGAGGGTAAGGCTCAGCATGCTGTGTTAGTGTCAGGCTGTCCCAATGGTCAGCATGTGAAATGCAGCCACCCTGAGTGGCCCCCATGCACGGGCGTCCGCGGTGGAGGGTCCTCTGTGCGGCACGGCAGATGGTCACCAGGCTTCTCTGGGGGACGGGTCCCAGGGTGAGTGTCCCTATCGTGTGGGCAAGGAGTCGCTCCGGGTGCCAGGAGGCCAACCAGCAGGGCTGCTTCAGAGGGGCCCTGAGAGCCCTAGTCAGGAGCTCGGGCACCGAGCATCCTCCTGGCAGCTGGACGAGTGCCATTGGCAGGTGCGAGAGGAGCACACCCGGGCGCCCACCCTGGGGAGCAAGTGCGCCCGGGAGCAAGAGCTCATGGTCCACCCTCACCCAGAGGTCAGGGAGGGTGCTGCCCAGTGCACAGGCCTCCGTGGACTCGGGTTGAGGGTTGTTGGGCGACCGGGCCGTGTCGCTGGGCAGGGGAAGCCAGACAATGCCGTGATTCTCCTGGGGGCCCCGTGGGCAGGGACCTCCTTGTGGGCCTGCAGGCCTGCCTTCTCCCGGCCCTGTGCTTCGAAGCGACTGCTGGCCAGGTGGGGCAGAGGCAGAGAACACACCTGACCGTGACTCAGCCAGGGTGGAGGGAGCTGGGGACACACCTGGCTGTGGCTCAGCCGGGGCGGGGGGATCTGGGGACACACCTGGCCATGGCTCAGCCGGGGCGGGGGGATCTGGGGGCACACCTGGCCGTGGCTCAGCCAGGGTGGAGGGAGCTGGGGACACACCTGGCCGTGGCTCAGCCGGGGCGGGGGGAGCTGGGGACACACCTGGCCGTGGCTTACCTGGGCAAGAGCTGCTCAGGTCTCTTGGTGCCTAGTGTCTGGCAAGGCCAGGTTCTTGGCTCAGAACCGTCCTGGAGGGGCCCAGAGGCTCCGCAAGGACTCGGGGGCTCTCGGGCCACCCTTTCCCACGCTCTCTGCCCTGCAGCATCAGCTGGGCTGGGCCTGGGCGGGCGGCCCTTCTCACCTGTCTTGTCGTCTTGTCGCTGCAGTGGTGCTGCCGCCTGAGAAGGCTGAGGGCCGAGAGGGCCTGGGGCAGCTCTTGAGCCCAGAGGATGGAGAAAGAGCGGCAACCCGCGAGGGCCCCCGAGGCCTGGGCAAGAAGCGCCTGAACGTTGACGTAGGTCTTTGCTCCTGCCTCCCTCGTGGGGCGGGGCCGACGGCCGGGATGGACGTCCCTGCGCCCTGCAGCCTGGGCCGCTCCCCTGAGGTTCAGCGGGCTGGGGGAGTTACAGGGCCCTGGGCTGGGCTGCTCCGGCGGGCAGGCTTCAGGGGTGGAGGTGTCGCCGTGGCTAGCCAGTGTGATGCCAGGTACTGAGCGATGTCCCCGGGCGTCCCTGCAGCACAGGGGAGTGACCCAGAAGCTGACTTCACAGACCATCCCGTCTCCCCCACCCGCTTAGGAGGGGAGGGGTCCGTTTTCCTGGAGTGAGGCGAGGCTCGGGGGTCCCTGCCCAGGGGTGAGGCCAACACTGCTGCCTCTGCCCCTGTGCACCCCCATAGGCGCTCCAGTGTGATGTCTCAGTGGAGGAAGACAGCCACCAGGAGTGGACGTTCACCCTGTACGGCTTCGACCACAGTGGGAAGGCCACCAGAGAGGTGACTCACTGTGTCTGCATCAGACCGTCCCCGCGAAGGGCACTGGTAGCAGACGGATGACAGTGCCGGATCTCTGTGATAGGGAGATGGGCTGAGCCTGCCTAGGGTGGGAGGAGAGGCCGGGACACTTCCCAGGAGGCAGGCTGGGGTGGGTGGGTGGGAGGGGAGCCACCATGGTACCCAGGTGATGGATGGAGCCGGCTGGAGTCCGTGTCACCTCCCGTCACCCTATGCAGCCTGCATCTGCCCTGGCCAGCAGCCCCTTGGCCAGGCGGTGAGGGTCCTGGGAGTGTCCCTGGTGCTCGGTTCTGCTGGGCTGTGTGTCTTGGAGGCACATGGTGCTCCTGGAAAGGAAACAGGCACATAGGATGACTGAAATAAGTGTGTTTATGTTAAAAACAAAACTTTGATAGTTTACCAGGTTGCTAATTTCTTTGAACATGGATTCAGTTTGAAGTTTACAGAGTCAGAGAGATGTGCCTCCAGCAGGGCCGCTGACTCGGGCCTCCCGGTGCCCGCACCAGGCTGAGGAGGGCTGCTCAGATGAGCTGCCGTCTCGCCGCGCTCTGTCAGGATGCTGAGCGAATCAAACAGGCAGGCAGCCTGGAGGCGGCAGCGGGCAGCATGACTTGGGCAGTGTCCCCTCAGTCTGCCTGTGTCCATGACACACCCATGCCACCCTTAGGACATGTCCAGCCTGATGCACACCATCTACGAGGTTGTCGACGCCTCGGTCAGCCACTCCTCGGGCAGCAGCAAGACCCTCCGTGTGAAGCTGACTGTCAGCCCGGAGCCCTCCAGCAAGAGGAAGGAAGGCACCCCCACCGGCCAGGGTGAGGGCCAGGGCTCTGGGGCTGCAGCGGCCCCCCAGATCAGACGCCAGAAGACCCTGCTCTAGATGGCCGCCCACACTCCCTGCAGCCACCCCTCCTGCCCCCGGCCCCCACGCTGCGTTTCCCCATCGCTCCTAACTCCTGCTCACTGCGCCGTGGGCTCCTTGTTAACCGTGTCTGCTGTTCAGTGTCCCCATCAGGACAAAAACCTCTGTGGTTTCCTGAACATGGAAGGCGGGGCTTGGCATCTGGCAGGGCCTCGAAACTGTTTGGTGAAGGAATGACTGAGGGCGTGAGTACTGGAGAGAGAGAGAGTGAGTGAGGGAGGGAAGAGTGAAGAGGGATGGAGAGAGGGAGGGAACGTATGCCCGCCTGTTGCAGACCGGGAGCCCACGCGCTGCAGGACAGAAGGGGAGCTCACCGAGGACCCCAGGGTGGCGGACAAGAGGCTGTCTGCGCACGTCAGGTGAGGGGCTGGGATCCAGGTCCACCCTCCTCAGATGGGAGCAGCCCACCCTGTCCTTGCTGCCCACCGGCCTCAGGGGCCGTCTGCTCCAGGTGGCCCACCAGGATGGGCACCGGGGTGCGGAGGCCTGGACGCCGGCAGGGAAGCCTGGGCACGCCCTACAGTTGGGGTGGAGGCCAGCGCTCGGGCCGGGGCCGAGAGGC